GGGTACTTTTTGACCCTCTTTTTATTATAAATACTTTTTGTAATTCAGTTTAGACATGTAAGATTAAATGTTTAGTGAAGTATGACAAATTAGATAAATGCCAATACTTATGTTAATATTAATTTTTATTTAGAGACGTAACAATCATATCAAAATTCACCACGTCAAACTCTTACATGTTAACCTGTCAGAGGAGACTACAGATGTGACGTTGGACGGACACTCCTGTCTCTAGGTCATTGGTGTGTAAAACAGGTTGTGTATCCGGAATATTACTTATTATTATTATGTAATATTAAATATCGGATATCCGGAGCGAAAGATGTATGAGTTTCTGCTTGAACGTGCGAATGTGTACAGGGACGTTATGTGTACGACGTCGACGGGTCGACGAGTGACAAACATTTTCATTTATTTATCATAAAAGTAAAGTTATTACATGAAAGATATGGGACGAAGTATTTGTTATGACTGAGGGATTCACAGGAGGCTCAGACCCCAGGCCCCTACACTCTCTTCGCGATCCTGTGTCCCTCGCGACGAAGTGAGTATTTACTTTTACCGCCAGTTGATAATTTTGTGTCCTCGTATTTTGCGAATTATCCGGAAGTAATGGCGCAATTTCTTTCTTGATTCTTTTCAAACTGTTTGCTACGTCCGAGCAATTTGCCCGGTCGTTCTGAGCTACACACATCTTTCTCTCTCTCTCCGCCTTTCTGCGACTCGGCGTGGCACGTCGCTAGTCGACTATGCCTCGTATCTCTCTACTCTCTCGACGCCAGGCTGCCCGGACGCCGGATGGACAGGGAGTGTAGAGATAAGTAGGGCCCTGGCCGTGTTAACAATTAAAGTAACAAGGATGAGCCTTTGGCTCAAAAGAAGGGTTGGGACGGTTGACACGATGTGAAGGCGGTGGCGGGGGCAGATTTGACATTGTCTTTCGCAGCTCTTACGGAAAGGAATCCTTAGCTGTTCGTCTTGGCTTTGATTGTAAAGATTTGCTTGTACCACCTGTGCATGTTAAACGTTTACTCAAGACGGAAAACATTTGACTTAAAATAGTATTAAAAAGTATTTAGTCCCAGCTTTTTCAGTGAACAGGCGGCCTGGTTCAGTTAACTTTCTAGATGAACAGGCTAAACATTTATTGGCAGGGCCTGCCACCTGCACATTGAAAAAGCGTGTGACATTCAGACCCGGGACCCTTAATTCTAGACGTATTGAATTCTACCCTGAAGGTAACGCGTTGTTAGTTTTACATCGAACTCACTTATACTGTTATTGTTGGAACTTAGAAATCAACCCAACGTGATACCATGGCACCAACGGTCGTCAACGATGGAACACTCCCTACTTAGAGGAGGGACTAGGAAGGAGGCTTAGACTCCAGGACACTCCTGGCCCGGGAGTACTCGGAGGGAGACGCAGAGGCACGTTGTCTGTAATCCGTTTTGGAAAAATTCCATAGGATTCTCTGCTTCTCTTCCTGTAGTCCACGTATTACTTACATCCAGTGAACAATTCGTGTTGCTTTTATGGTAGACCCTTCTTCAAGTCCTGACACTTTCCAATATTTGAGAACTTAGCTGTCGGATTAGTGACACTAACTGACGTCACCAGTATGTGTCACCTTTGACGCACGTACAGTTGTCATACTGGCAGTGACTCTCTCAGGGTCCCCGGGAGATAGGATGCCTGTGTTGAATTAGCAATAGACGCACGTCAGTCTCCTTGCAACAGTTTCACTTCTGTGTGGAGTTTGTACACCGCACAATGAGTTTGACTGACATCACTTCCTCGAGGTTGTTCGGCAAATCCTGTCTCTCACTTTATGTGTATTGATATGTCTCTACGACATATTCTTTGTTACACTCCAAACCTTTTTGAACATGTGTTACATTTAGTCGCAAAGAGGTTTCACACCCGCGCGGTTGTGACCAACCCCGCTCTCTACACTATCCACCCTAGCGCTTACCTGACGCTACTTCCCTTCTAAAAAAATAAATCAAATTTTTACAACCTGAGTCCGGCCTTAGCTTGGAACATACGAAATTGTCGCGGTTGAACCGGCCTGAGCGGCCTCGGAGTGGTTTCCCAACAAACGTCGCCGCCACGCCATGGTGCGACACTTTTCAGTGCCGGGTGATTACGGTTCTCGGCGCCGGGTCGGCTTCCCCTCTCAAAGAACCGGAATCGAGAACCGAAAATGACTGGAATCGAAAAACAGAACCGGAATCGTTAAAATCCAAACGATACCCAACCCTATGTGTGATGCAGTAAAATCTCACCGCTCACTTACGTTAGCGGTGTCGTAAAACCGTGGCAAAATGTAAAATACGATGGAGAAGAAGAAGATTCCAGTGGCCCCAATTTGTGTCCATTCTGGACAAGTGAAAAATGTATTCGGACAAGTAAATTGCCAAACTCACTTGTCCATGGACAAGTACTCTCTAAAAACTTTTTCTCACACTGGACTAACAGTGCAACATAGGGCTGCTCAATTAAGCGTATTTTAATCGCAATTTAAGATTTTGGCTTGCAACGATTATGAGAACAACATAATCGAAATAAAACCATTATTTATTTTTATTTATTTTATTATTTATTTAAAAATAAACTTTTTTTTTCTTTTTTGGTTTTTCAATTGAATTATACTTTAAGGTCAGGGTAATCAACTGTTAAAAACATACTACACATTTTTTTTCTCCAATAAATAAAAGATGTTTTCAAAGTAAATGGATAATCCATTTTAATAATTGTGATTATTGACCAAAATAATCGAGATTATGATTTTTGCCATAATCGCACAGCCCTAGTGCAACATACACTATACAATAGAATGGTACTTTATTGTCAGGTCAAGTCTGACATTTTCCTTGCATCACAGCGGCTCCATTTAGAACAGGGACACATATTTAAGACAAGAAACAAGGAAACTGACTGTTAATATAAAATGTCAATCAGTAAGGATGTTTAAAACCCTGCTCAAGACATAAAGGAAGGGAATAGGAAGTAAAAAGTTCAATAAGAAATGTGCAAGTTATACAATGATGCAAGTAAACAGGTTGCCGTCTAACCTGAACTAACTCAAGTGATCATCAAGACCATTATATGTTTTTAAGCTCATTTAACCACACAGGAATCCTCCTGTAAAAAGTCCTCAAAAGTATCTGAATATATGGATTAGAAAATCAAATGTTTTTAGTTTCTGTAACTCTGTGGTGTAAATAATATTTGTGTATGCGTTCATTTGTTTGCGTGTTTTTCTCTAGGTTGAGGAAAGCTTGATATTGCCTGCCCAGTCCCTGTCTGACAATGAGAAGTGGATGGAGGATGATCGGCAAAAAGAGGATGAGACGGCGCAAGAGGTGGACGAAAAACAATATTTAGAGGTACTGTACAGTTGCAGCGTTTATGTAAATATAAAAGTGCAAATCAATTCTGTACCGGGATGTTTGCTTATGTCAGAGATCATTTCAAAGGTAAGATTTCATTATACTATGTGCTCCGTATTAATGATTGTTCCTGGCACAGTTGAAGCTTTAAGTGCTATCATGCTAAATCCAGCTCTGGCTAATGGGTAGGGCAGAGCCATTCTGAGAAAAGATCTCTAATCATTATTTGGACTAATATTACAATTGTGATATGATTCACATATTTGAGGCAATTACCATTTTAACATAACTTTTCATTCTTATTTTCCTAGAAGAATTTTTTTTATAAATATTAAAATGGTTATCGTTTGTATTATGTGTGAGGATCTGTATAACATTTATTTTTATTAAAGAGGCCCTTTTATATTTGTAGTGTGTTGTATAGGTTTGTGTGTATGTAAATGGTCTGCAAAGGCTAGAATCCCTGTGTTCCCTCCAGAGGGAGATTCTCTGCCTACTAATAGGCAGATCACTTTCAACATCTTTCTCCACAGCTCAAACATCTCTGTTTATCCATCAGGCCTTTGGAGAGGAGGAGCTCACTGCAGACGAAGAATGGAAGCACGAAAAAGACATTTCACTACCTGAGACAGAACTTGAGCAAATCTCAGAAAATCCACCCCCTGAAACCTCTGCCACTCAAGACCAGGACTCAGCCCCCCCGCTGACTCCCTCTGACCCTGGCTCTGATATTACTGCTGAGCCCGAAGATAACTTCAACGTCCTTAACCTTCAAGAAAGCACCCCAGACAGGCAAGATATTATTATATGGAGGCTTATTTCATGTTTTGTTTCCGCTGCGATCTACTTACTTTGCTGTGTCTCTTTCTGTTGTTCGGAAAATGCTCACTTCGATTTACGGTACCTTTTTATAAGAGCAAGTTGTTTTAAAAGATCATTCGTTTTCTTTTTTTGTTTTACCGTGAGTAAAAAGGCTGCACGAGTGTAACATGGATGGTTGTTTCTTTCAGTGTTTCAGATGATGCAGCTGAAGTAGCTGATGTAGCTGCACCTGAGGTCGTTGATTCGGACCCGCCTCCAGCTGACTGTGAAGAACTAGAGGAGGAAAAAGAGGGAGAAGGAGAAGAGGACAATCCATATGACAATGAAAGGTGGGTACAGGAAATCATGTGCCCTACTTAGTTAGACATAAAGCTATAAATAGCCTTTCTCTTGCATTTTTGGAAAGTTGGCTTTGAATGCAGGTCGTGAGCAAGGCCAAAAAAAAATGTAAGTATAGTACAATTGTGTCATTTTCTTGCCACAAGGGAACTTTCAATCAAAACAAAAGGCAGAATTTGGTGGTGTTGTGAAGTAGTGTTGGATCAAGGGGGTTTATTATTGCAGTCGGCTTCTCCCGCTGTACTTTCCTTGAGTTTTACCAAACATGTCTGCCTCTCAAAGAGCTTTTTTTTCTCTGACAATTGAAGATCCAGATCCAGAACTTTTCAGTGGATACAAATGCAAACAGGCAGCTTCACGTTGAAAATCCTCCTATTGTTTGGCTGTCGCTAACATTTGCTTTGTTTGTCTCTCTGAGAGCCTTTGTCCAGTTCAAATATATATTTAAAAACAACAAAGATCTAAAAAGTCTACCGTAAAAACGTAGCTTAAACTGCATAAAAGTAAACTTTGGGCAGACAACCACAACTCTTACACATGCTCTAAGACAGCGGTTCCCAACCTGTGGGCGGCGGCCCCCTAGTCGTCCGCGAAGGCATTGCAAGTGGGCCACCAAATAATTTTTAATTGTGTACAGCAGGGGTGCCCACACTTTTTTGGCTGGTGAGCTACTTTTGAAATGACCAGCTCACCGAGGTCTATCAACCAAAAATAAAATCCCAAATTGCAAGGGTTGCTGAATAACACGTTTTATTTATACATGGGATAACTACAATAGGGCTGCAACAAACGACTAATTTGATAATCGATTAATCTATCGATTAATTTAAACGATTAATGGACTATTCGGACTATTACTGTATGCCTTGCACAATTTCTCAAACGCTCTTATTTAGCCGTCAACTTTTAGATTTAGCTTGAGGTTGTTTTAGGCATGTGGAAACTAACAATGAAGACAATAAAGATGAATACTTGATTCAAAAATACATATAATATTAAATTAACTAAACACATTGTGAACAAAATTAACATTGCTTTTTATTTAAATTAAATAAATAATATTTCACATCAAAAGAGACAACAGTGTTTTAACAAATCGTATTAAATGATGTGAAAACAGAACTGTAAACAGAATAGCTGAAACGTTAACAAAATAAATAACTCAGTTACCTCTAATCATTAACCCATGTTTGTATAATGTAGTTAACTCCGTGTGTTGCTGCTAGCATACATAACGGTCAAATTGACGGTCTTTTATTCATCCATTGGTTGGTTTTGTGGCACATTTGTACCGAAGGAGTGGCAGACCGGGGTGGTGGTTCCCCTTTTCAAAAAGGGGGATCAGAGGGCGTGTGCCAATTACAGAGGCATCACACTACTCAGCCTCCCCGGGAAAGATTACTCTAAGGTACTCGAAAGGAGGGTCAGGCCGATTGTCGAACCTCAGATTGAGGAGGAACAATGCGGATTCCGTCCTGGTCGTGGAACGACGGATCAGCTTTTTACTCTCGCAAGGATCCTGGAGGGGGCCTGGGAGTATGCTTCTCCAGTCTACATGTGTTTTGTAGACTTGGAGAAGGCGTATGACCGAGTTCCCAGGGAGTTACTGTGGGAGGTGCTGCAGGAGTATGGGGTGAGGGGGTCTCTACTCAGGGCCATCCAATCTCTGTACTCCCAAAGCGAGAGCTGTGTCCGGGTCCTCGGCAGTAAGTCGGACCCATTTCCGGTGAGGGTTGGCCTCCGCCAGGGCTGCGCTTTGTCAACAATCCTGTTTGTAATATACATGGATCGGATTTCGAGGCGTAGTCGTGGGGGAGGGGGTCTGCAGTTCGGTGGACTAAGGATTGCACCACTGCTTTTTGCAGATGATGTGGTTCTGATGGCTTCATCGGTCTGCGACCTTCAGCACT